CGGACTGCCGGGGGACACAGCTGCCGCAGTCTCGGGTCAACAACCAGGGACATCCTCAACGTGGTGGGAAAACGACCGGCACCATGGCTTGGGGGACCAATGCCGAGCAACGGCACCAGCATCGCCCAGACAGAGGGCAGCTCGTCGACCCCGCCAACAGACACCCTCGCCAGATGGCTCCAATGACAGTCACCGGCGACGGCGAATGCTCGCTATCCACCTCCATGAAAGTGGAATTGCGGGAAGACAAGATGCTGAACCTGATGAATAGAGACGCGGGGGACCAACAACTACGAAACCTACTACCAGCTCCACCGCAAGAAGTACTGAAGCTGACGGGGGACCAGTGACCGCGAGAGAGCTGTGCCAGGCGATGCTTTCGAACTTCAGCCTCGTTCTTCCAGTTGTAATTACCTTTGTAGGCGAACAACAAACACCTTTTGTCAAAAATCGGAGGACGAGTGCTACAGTATACCTAGTTCAATCCTACAGTCAATGCCTGAAACCGGGGACCCCAAAAGAATGCATCAGATACTCGTGTTGCTTCGAAGTTCCCATTGTAAGTTGGCTTTTGTTCCTTACGAAGGGGGATCCGGAACCTGTAAAATATCAACAGTCCGATGGAGCAAGAAAGTTTTGATTACTGTGTTCCCGTATCTAGTACTCTGTATTGTGTTGTTACTAGCAAAGATGCTCCGCCACTAATGTAGACTGCCCATGCTGGTCTCACCAACGATGGCATGTGATTTAGTTTGCTCATGTTACGGTTTGATCTTGTTCATTCTACCTTGAGATACTTACTCTTTCTGGGGGAACGCCATCTAAACCGTGTACTGAGATTCGCAGTATACTTTTGAACCGTGGAGCGGTTCTAAGATGTCCCCTGTAAGAACACTGTTTTACCTTTATTGCTTGCTGAGCTTGCTGTCTTTGTTGGCATGCAGGGGGACAGAAAGACTGTAATTTGAATTGCATATTGCGTACGGCCAAATAGGGGAACTTCACCCTGCCACGCTCCTTTTTCAGACCCTTTGTGCCCACTTCCACTGTAGTTCCGACATGATTCAAGAGGTCGTACGTCATCCAAACTTGTAGGGTATGAAAACGCATGTCCCCTCAAGTGGTCTACTCATTTTGTTTTCAGTTAGCTGTTTCTGATACTCAGGGGGACATGCAGTGCCGTGCAAGTTCGAAGCTGTGCATGTGTCTGATACAACTGAAGAACCCTGACCGTAACACTTGAATTCTATTCATATCTCTCATCAGGGGGACTCGTTGTCACTTTCACGCCCTTTCCAAAAGCCCCATAACACATGGGGGGCCCATGCGGCCGGGGGGCCTCGCACGCCTCCCACGCCCAGCAGAAGAAAAAAATAACAACACAGCGGGGCAAACTTTTAAGAGCAGAGGTGACATGTTCCACGTTTGATCCTTCCCTTACGTTCTTCTACACAAGATCTTCTGAGAAAGACGCGGGACGGTGGGGGAAATCATGTACCTTGAGAGTGTATGTACATCCTTGTTAGCCCTGGCGAAAGAAAGAGAGAGAGAGAGAGAGAGAGAGAGAGAGAGAGAGTAGCCATTTTGGCTCAAGTACTGCACCTTTGCTTGGGGGTGTGTTCCACCTCCTTGCATCGGGGGACAGCTGGAGGGTTGGCTCGGACTGTTCCTCCGAGAGAGCCCTTCCAGTTGTTCAAGCGGTGCTTGAGACCAATCGTCCGCCGCCATTGATCTTAAGTGGCCCTTGTAGCCTTCGTGGGGAGTGCGCAATAAAGGTGACCGGCACGATCGAACACTATCTGCGGCCCGGCGACCTGGTGACAGCAAGACCCTCTTCCTCAACTTGCAAACCGAGGGGGACACAGATCTCTTCTCCGACCTCCTTTTGAAATTTCTGGCGGAGCTTCGCTTTCCGAACCACCACGCTGGGAGGGGGAGTGCCACGCCTGGAAGTTCGTGACTTACAGGGAGACCAAGAACAATAACTACCGTGGTACAGTGGTACAAATGGACCCAAGGGGGGAGAGGAAGCAAAAGGGAAAGAAGGAATGCCGCATATGCCGGCAGGGCGCAGGCATCTGTCAGCAAGGATTCCGCAAGGTGCACGAGAGATCTGATCCCGCATGTCGTTTCCATGGGTGCAGCGAGAAGGGGACGGGAAGCAGACCAGTGTCCCAAGGCAGTCATCCGCCACAGCGAGACGCGGGGGATACACGAGCTCCGCAAGTTCCCTTTTCGCACATGACCAGGTTCACGACAAAGGGGGGATTGGGACTGCACTTCCTACCCGGTCCACTTGACAAGTGGGGGAAGAGAGAAATCTACAAGGAGAACGAAGTGTGGATGGACCTCGAGACCGGCGAGCCGCTGAGCAACACGGAAGCGGGGGAGTACAATAACTACTGCGAACGCTTCGAAGAAAGGTGCAAAATAGGAAGAGCGGCAGACAAGCTTACCAAGATCGTGGACAAGCACATGCCCAAGCTCGCCAATGAGACGCGGGCACACATCATCCGCTTCCCTCAAAAAGCTGGTGCACTGCTGAAAAAGGCACGCCAAATCCGAAAGAAAATGCGGAGGCGGCGAAAAGCAAAGGGGGCGACTACCGTACCAAAGCCGCCGGCAAGCCAAGGGGGAGCAACCACCGATGTCGACTTGGGAGAAAGGCATGAAGAAGAGGACGTTGACTGGGGAAGCACGGAGTCGGCAACTTCAGGCACAGAGCCACACAGCCAAGGTGGGGGAGACACACAACGAGAAGGAGAAGAAACCACCAAGGCCAAGGAGAGCCCCGAGACGGCAACCACAAGCAGAGATCCACGCGACCATGGTGGGGAACTTGGTGGGGATGATGCACAACGTGCTGAAGCAGCAACCGCTGAGGCCAATATGAACATGGGGGGACGAAGCTTGGGAAAAGAGAGACCGCGTACTCCAAGCCGAAGCCCGCGGAGAAGAGCACTTGGATGGGAGCGACCGCGAAGCCTGAGTCGCAGCCCGTGGGGGAGGAACAGACCTCGCAGCCCCAGCCACAGCCCACAGCGTGTTCGGCTTCAACCAAACCTGTGGTGGCAAGTCCAGCATGTACAAGAACATTCCCAAAGTTTCTCCTACTATGCCCTTGCCGGGGGGATGCATCCTTTTTCGGCTGTTGCTCGAAGTAGCCACCGAATGCCCTGCATGTTGCCTCTAATCCTGCAAAAGCTCGAAGTAGCCACCGAAAGCCCAATTCATCTGCAAGGGTCGCCAGCCTGCGACGCATATTACCAACCGCCACAATAATTCAACGCTTTCGCCGACTGTTTCCAAACTAGAAGACATAATTCGACCGGCCACGTTTTCATACGAACACGCGAGGTGGGACCAGCCACTGCTTGAAAATACTCTGTACCATACATGCTGGCGAACCCTCGCTGAACAACCGAGCTCGGGGGAAGCAAGCCTACACAAACTTTTTGCTTGTGACGTCGTTCTGTATTTTACTTGGCCTGGTACTCAGCTGTTTGGTTCTGTACTGCAAGAAAGAGAGCTGCTTCAACCACGACAGCTTACGAGGGGTGATGCGTACGGTGCAGGGTCTAAGGAACTTGCCTTAGAGGGCGCGGTGATGAGGCCGGGACGCCGGCTAAAGTACAGGGTTGTAGGGGGGATCAGCACCGGACGCATGCCACCTGTTTTAAAAAACGACGGGGGGAAACCTCCCACCACAGAACCCCAAAGCCTCCTTCCACTGCCGAAGCAGGAAGGGGGGGGTCTGCTCGCAGACCTTGCCCCGGAAGCCGAAGCCGAAGCCGAAGAGAGAGAGAGAGATAGAGAGAGAGAGAGAGAGAGAGAGAGAGAGAGGAGGAGAGAGAAAGAGAGAGCGAGAGCGAGAGATAACCATTTTGGCTAAAGTACTTGCACCTTTGTTCGGTTGGGGCTGTTCCCCCCTGCCGGGCTCAGGGGGAGGAGCCTTCCCGGTTGACTTCCGGCTTGCTGGAGGGGAGCTGGGGGGTTCTTCCCAGCGGGTGCTTGAGTCATCCGTCCGCGGGCGCTCAGCTCAAGCGCACGGGTCTAGTAGCACGTTGCAGCCATGGCAGGGCAGTGGCACGATAAATCGCTCAAAGTTTTTCTGGCACACTGTGGACATCCTCATGGCTCATGGCCATGACCCGCCCAGAAATTTCATTCAAGTCTCCGACGACGACTACACTGACTACACCATGGGTTTGACGGGCTTCCGCTCCGAAGACATGTCCATGATGAATGTTTATTAAAAAAGACCCGCAAACTGCAGGGCGAGGACTCAAGTCAGACCTCGTTCTCGAGACCAAATGCAGATTGCCTGGGAATGTTCATGTTGTACATTGTCTTCGAGTTCCCAAAGCTTGTTCTGAGCTGATTGCGTTCTTGCATGTTTCGTTGGGAAGGGGGCCCAACACAATTTTTGAGCAACTTCGTTCCGTGCAATAAGATCGGTGAACCGCCCCCAAGCGCACACTTCGAACCTGTACGTAACCCTTGCTCCGTGCAGAGACCTTAGTACCGACAATGGTTAGCCAATATCCCGGGAGCCGAAAACTCCACCCGCTCCGACATCGTGCGGAGAGACGTGAAGGGGGTAATTCTGGAAGAATAACAAGGATGTGGCAGCACACCGAGGCTGGTGCGTCAAAGTGCGTAACCGGCAGCTCTTTTTGCTTCAGTCCTTCAAATAGCACGGGGCGAGCCGAGGACACACATCCGAGAAGAGCCTGGTACTTTTTATCTCAGAGTGATACGGGCTGCAGCTTGATTTTAGGAAGTGCTTTGCATAATCGAAAGCTCAGCCCGTGGAGTGCCAGACATTTCTAGCACGTAAAACCATGCATCCCTTCAACAGACGGGCTGCTCCCGCGGGCGCATGCCCTCAAGCGTGGGGAGAGAGAGAGAGAGAGAGAGATAGAGTGCGAGCAAGAGCGGAGGCGGTGTTCGTTGCTGTGGAAGTGTGTGCAGTTTTGCTTCGTTCCCGACTTTTGCAGGCGAACCAGGCGCGAGCAGCTTTCCGAGTGTTACAAGTCAGACGATGGAAGAGGCCATCACGTCCAAAATCCATCTTTTCCATAGTGGTTAAAGTGCAGGCGTTCAGTGTCCTCCGGAATCTAAACATGTAGGGCAACATAGGAGGCACACGGGTACAGACACTGCGCTTTCTCTCTCCCTAACGTGCCGCATCGTGCTTGGCAAAGGAGATGAGGGTCTCCGCCCCGAAGATGGTCAGCTCCTCAGTTTCTCGGATGCTTTCCCTGCACTTGGGAGGTGCATATATCTTGGCGGTGGGATTCATGTGGGTCCGAATTGAGAGCTGCTTGCGATTGGCATGGTCTCTCTGGAGTTGTAGAAAGCTGGTAGATCCCGGTTCCCACGGCCCTGCAGAGGGAAATCACCTCTTGGGCCTTCGTCACGAGAAGAGTCCTGTCCGGCGGTCTTTCGTTAGACTCCTGGACGGGATGCACCTCCGTTGCACTAGTGCTCTCAGACATTTGCGCCGTGGGTGGTAGAATTCGAGGCATGGTGTTAACGCACATGCATCAACACGGCGATTGAGTTTCCTGGTCTTACGCTTCGATTTCAACGTATGCTGTATACTTGTTGCGTGCCTTTGCGAAGCCATGCCATGCCTTGCCAACAGAACTGGGAAACACGTATCAAGACCAGACCGAGACACGATGAGGTCGGTGGGGAAACAGACGTATGGTGGAAAGACAGCAAGTGAGTACGATGGTTAGTCGCGGACGATTGAAGGGTAGTATTGTGATCCCGGGGCTATAGCATCGTCACACCAGTGTCACACCACTAAGTGGGGCACCTTTGCTTGTCCGTGCTTGCATCGTGACAAAGATATGTTGGCGTTATCGTGTGTTTGCCTTGATTGATGAGGGTGTTCATCGGAAGCGTGCTGGACTTTGCCAAGTTAGTCTACATTACTGTGCTATCAGTGCAAGCAATTTTTCGCGACTTAGTGATTCCGCTGAAACTGGATGGGGCCAGCATGCGGTTTGAATTTTTTAATGTCTTCTTTCACTATGTCTTGGCACTGTGTCTCCATGAACCAATCACCTGTGACGAAAGTCACAAACAGTTGGAAGATCATAAACAGTAAACGCCTTCTGAATTAGATACAATAAGCGTAGGAGCTCTGCAGACCCCAAGCTCCTTCCTGGAGCAATACGCTCAGAGCCCGTACACGCATCTGTCTCAGGCCAAACCCGAAAAGGTTTCCCGAAACCCCAAAAGCCCCAACTCCTAAGCAATTGCAATAATCCCCACTGGTGTGATCCTCGATGGTCCTGCCTCGCTGACCGATCTTGGCAAACTGACTGAGGCTGTTCTTGGGTGTCATCCAAGTGCCTCGGCTTTTGAACCTTTGGAAGGCGCTGATACAAGCCTCCTAAAAAGCTTGATAGACATGTTTATTTTGATCATTGCTTGACGCGTTCTTATCAGACATTTGGGGATTCAATCTTGGCTCGCGAACTTTTATGTAAGAACTTTTGAGTGAAGATGGCAGTTGTCCTCAGTACTCTTGGGAGGCTGCCTGCTCGAACAGCCTACTCAGGCACTCTGTCCTTGCCATTTTCCTTGTGGCGAAGGTGAGAGGAATATAAGCAGCCGTGCATTTCAAGAAAGCCTTGGCCGTGAGGTCCTTTCTTGATGTGGTCTTTTGGGCCCAGATCTTTACATGCTAGAACCACAGCCCAAAGATCCAAGAGGCCTAAAGCGAAGGCATTCAGCTATGTGGGCCCGGGAATGGAGAGTCTAAACTTCTAAACCCCACTGGAATGTCTACGTCAATATTTAAATGCCCTTGAGGCCCTTTTTGGGTCCGAAAAGGACAGCCCAAGCATTTGATCCTGTCGGATTGCAGTGCATGTAGGCGTCCCCTCAAAATCCATCGGTTTTTTCTTGCCCTAGCCCGTGGCCAGGTTCCCCTGAATGGAAATTCGGGGAAGTCGAAGCTGGGACTGAAGAACATAGCGCATCTGCTTGAAGCTAGGGTGTAGGGTGTAGGCCACAAGGTTGAAGAAGGCACGTAGACTGTTGCTTCAGGCTTCCAGTAGGCTTGGCTCGCAAATCACAGGCATGGAACAGGGACTGTGAGTTTCCATCGTTGCGAGGCAGCATTAGAAATCCCATTTCGCAGGCTGCCAGCCTTTCTCCGCTGCTGACAGCTCAGGATCCCCAGCAGTACACCCACAACTCATTGCCGAGAGCCCAGCCCGCGTGACATCCAGAATGATTCTCCTGATTCCCTTTGCCACTGCCGTGTTACAGGTGCGTTGACATGTTCTCAGAGCCCAAGCCCGGAGATCGCTTGGACCATGAAGCAGCCGAGGCAACATGATCTGCTTCGACTGTAAGAGAGCTGCCTGCACACGCCCTTTATGCAGGTATCAAAAGCCGATCGGGCAATGGGAGGAGTGCGTTTAGGCAGCTCCTTGAGCGGCATGGTCCGATCTCCTATAGATGAAATTTGGTCCACTCGGGGCCTACTTTTCAGTTCTATGCTGGGCACCCCCATCGGAAAAGAAGCAGCCAGGAGAAGTTCGAATGATGACGAACAGCAGGTGCCGTGCCATAGCGTTCGTGCCTTCCTAGAGTTGCAATAGGAGAGAGCCTCTCATGCAATGGCGGCCTCCACAGTGCCACATGAAGTGCGGGCCATCGTCATCGTCGTCAGGGTCATGACTATCACATCTCATCGGTTCTGCACTAGCGAGAAGAGCCTTCTGTGGAGATGACCGATGACATCCTGGAAGGTCGCATCAACGCATGCGTGACAGACAAGTTCTGCGTGGTCGGGCAGCAGGTAATCTGTCACGCCGTCTTCGCTGGACGAAAGAGGCCGTGGTGCCAGGGAACCTTTCGGGCCTTCAGGCATGGCGTTGCATTACGGGATCTAGTTCAAGTCTCTTCCCTAAGCCGTGCGGCTTCCGTGAGCTTCTGTGTAGCGGTCTTTAGCCTTTGCTGGGTATATGTCTGAGCCGGTCTCGTTCAGCCCACTTTAATTGAGACAAGTAAGTACATGGAAACATCACGGGCCGTTTTTGAAGGCCAGGCTTGTACCTCGACCAGACCCGTCCACGCACAAAGTCAAGCCGGTCCGACCGCTCGTCACACGGCCTCTTGTACCAGTCAACCGGTACACTCTGCACTGCTTTGTTTCCGACAGGTCTCAGCATGCCCCCCGCAATTTTGGCTCAAACCGGCGTCCCACGGAAGCGGCACGCGACGGGAGTCTGCCAGGCCCCAGGTGACTGAGTGTTTCAACAACGGCTGTCCGCATCGGCACTTGCCCCAATGCCTTCAACTGAGGTTTGCAGGAGCGTCCATCTGCCCCGTATTCCTGGTCTTCTTTCAAGGCCTGATCCCACAGCAATTGGCATGCAGTGAAGCCCTAAAAGCCTCAAGCGCCTTGCACTGCTCCCACGTCACCTCTCGGCTGCAGGCAGAGCCTTCGAACGAGGATCTTGAGTCTCGATCCGCAGATTTGCTTCGCCCACGAGCTTCTCGGCCTTTAGCTGGGTGCCTTTCAAACACATGCGGCTGCATGGTGTCTGTATCTGCAGGAACCTCCTTAAATCTCCAACAGTACAGCATGTAGCTACTCGGTACATGTCGCAGGTATACATAAAAGCTGAATGTGATCAGTGAAATGCGCGACTCATCCGAGATTTGTACCTAGCCGTTTTCTCCCCTCCGACTGGTTGGGGTTGCAACTCAGCAAACCATAACCCATTCATGGCTCGGCCGGTACTAGTAGGTACCCTCCAGTATGTACTCGTGTCATGTAAAGCACAACACCTCTAGGACATCTTCGTTGCTTACTTTGGCACCTGGAATGGCAAAGGAGATGGGGAACAGCTTTTCGAAGATGGTCAGCTCCTCAGTCTTCTTTTTCCCGGGGAGACGCCCATGGCTTCGAAGTGAAGACTTCGCGCTTTGCATAGACTCCCTTCATTATGCTGGATTCGTTTCTTGAGCCCGTGGGTCCATGCAGCTTGGGCCTTCGTCATGAGAAGCGCATGGTGGCACACCGGCTACCGTGCAGGATTGGACCGCTGTTGAGACATTTGCTTGTGAACTGTTTCGCACTTGCGCAAAGGCTTCCGATTTCTCGGGTGGGTCCGATCCAAGATTGCAACAAGATTGCCAGACTCCGACCCGACGCTGTCGTTCAGAGGCCCCCCACCTCCCTATTTACCGCTTGTAACCGTCGGCCTTTAACGCCCTTGTTGTGCATGCGTTTGCTGCTTCAATCCGTGGTAACCTGTCAAGATTGTACGTGTCCAGCGGGATCGAGTACTGGCCTCATCTGGAACTTGGCATGTACGGGGTCAAGGGTGGCATATGGTGGCATAAAAGCTCCCTTGCAGACATCAACTACGCAAAAGCTCGTGAAGCGAATCGTCTCTGAAGCGGACGATGGGAATCATCGTATCGTCATGATGTGCTCAGCTATATTCAACACCCAGATGGAGCGATCGAAATCAAGTTCAGGGATAGCACGCGATGTTTCCAACTCCTATAGGGTGCAAAGCGCACTACGCCTGTCCAAACCAGTCAGCGCAAGACGCTGAGATCGGTCGTCGGTTCCCTAGCATAGGTGGCCAGAGTCCTCAACGCAGTACAACAGCAGGTTACGCAAACTACGATAAGAAAAATACCCTGCAGGAGGCTAGCCGCGTTGTAGCTTTTGCCTTAGGCGATGTCGACAGGTCTGTCGTCTACAAGGCCGAGCTACCCTGGAGCACAGGTGAGCTGGCCGTTTGTCACATATCGTGTGCCGCTGCGGTGGGGCGCAAGTCGCAGCGTCGGAGACTGCATTACCTGACCTCACAGCAAGCAGCGATGAACCCGGACAGTGCAGACCATAAGATGCACCTGATTGCTTTTTGCTTTTCCACAACGAAAAGGGCATGCCGGGCTACATTGCAATGCGAAGCGTTCTCACTGCAACATGCTCTCAAGCACATCAAGCGCGGAGACAGAACTCGCGCGACTCTGTTGGCTTTGCTGGGATAGCTACCCAATCTGAGCCGTTGCGAGGAAGTCGCAGGCGCAGCATGCTACGTGTCCAGTATTCGGACTGCCGATCGCTTACCGACCATGTGTTGTCACAAACTCCGACGTCCGTTGAGGACGAGCGTCTTGCGATCGAATTGGCGGGACTGCGCCAGACCTTCTGGATGCTCTTCTCACTTGGAGTTCCTCTTCTCAGCTTGAAACAGTTCGGAACTACAGGCCTCAATTCGTCTGACTACATGTCGGTTACAGCCTGTGAACGTGGGTCGCCTTGGCAACCTGCTCGTAGATCTGACATCTGACCTCTCTCACTTCTGATGTTGTGCTGGGATGCTGTAGCGGTAAGATCCGAGTACCTGTCTGACTTTGCCATTGGAACTGAAGCTCAAATCCGCACTTGGGCTGCATCTTGCAGTAGAAAGCCAGCGACTTTTTTCACCTTTCAGATGACTTCCATTATTGGGTTCATATTCTCACAGGGCGATCTCAGGCTAGGCCCAGGTTCGTCTCTGACGTGAGTTTGACTTCCCGAGCCGAATCGCATGGAACCGCACGCTGCTGAAGACGCGTGCATGCCATTTCCAGGAGATCCATGCGGTTGCAACCCATGCAAAGAGCAAGACAAATCAGGCACATCAAGCTAGAACACATGCGAGCTGGGAGATGCATTGCTGGCAGAGGGCTTCCCGCGGCTTCGATACTTGAAATGCTTTACTTGTAGCGTGCCGTGCCAGCGAGCCCGCAGAGGGAAATCGCATCTTCAGCCTTCGACAGCTCGCGGTTGCAGAAAGGCTCAGTTTTGTCTCTACGTCTGTGACTTCTGATGTTATCTGCCCGAGCTGTTTGGCATTTGTGACAAACATGCAGCGTTACATGTAGATTTATTGCAATGGTTGGCCGGCTGTTTGGGCATTGCCTCATGCACTCGTTGCTTCGTCCATGGCTTCCTTCCTATTCTGGTTTGATCCAAGCTGGCCGTTTGTCAAGATTTCTCCGTTGTATCTTTTTGTTGCCAAGTTACGATCCGAGCCTCTGCCTCCTTCTAGGTGCTAAGAATCGCTCCCTTCCTGTGCATATTCCTTTGCTGACTGGTTGCCTCATGGATCTTGAACAGGCGCGAGACATTACATGCAATCATCTCATGCCCGGCACAAGACATTGCAGTGCTGCATGCCTCTGCCATTCGCGAAGGCAAGGGTCTCTCAGCTTGGCTCGAAGGCCCCCAAAGGCATTTACCTATTGCTTGTTTAACACCACTCGTCTTCAAGACTGGGGACGACCCAATTTTCTTTTTTCTCGCTGACATGGTGCTTCCTAGCGCAGAGGTAGATGTGCAGTGCGGTCGGGCGAGGTTTAAGAGTTTCAGCTCATGTGCCGAGGACTTCAGCTGCCTGCCATCTCCCGCAGATGCATTTTGGAAAGCTGCTCGCCTGAAAGATGATTCCTGCAGGCTCAAAGCCCTGCAGCTTGATGCTGCAGCCCGGCAATTCGTCAAACCGTCAGTTGGAAAGCAAGTGGTGCAGTTCGCCGTGTTTTGCATGTTTCATCATATTTCCTTCTCGCACAGAACCTGGTTTCTCTGTGGACCCATACATCAGTGTAGGCATCATGCATGGGTTTTGCGTGAAAAGAGTCAAGTGCCGTGCTCGGCTTATGCCATGTATCTTTCGCATGAGCTCTTGCTTTCTAATGTAGTTTTACTTGCAGGCCTGGCATGCATTTACTGAATCGTTGCGAGGCTCCGATAGGCTCACCGAGGAGAGGTTATTGTGGTGTTTTGGCTGAGACGAAGGCTTTTGAACGCATGAAAGAGCGCGCGTCGAAGTCTGCGCTGCCTTGGGCCCAGCCCTTAGCTCGAATGCTGGAAGCGGCCGAGAATCTCTGTCCCAAGACGGTGTTCGCACCAGGTCCAGAGGTTCCATCAGACGCTGATGCTGCATGGAGAGTCGACATATTTTCTGAACCTGTTCTTTGTGCGTCTCCATGGCATCCGGAGTAAAACAATGATGGAAGCAATAATCCAGACTAACCTGGACAAGCTTGAGCGGTTCAACCCCTTGGAATCTCGGCAAAGATGTGGGTGGCAGCGGCAGAAGCATGAGCCATTCCATGGACAGAACGTGTGCATTTCGTGGTGTGGAGATTTGCCTTCGTATAGCCCGAGGATGCGCAGAAGTTACCTCGTCCTCTTCGTGAAACCATGTCTTCGGACAAGAGATTGATGCGAGTCGTCAAGGGAATTGCAGCCTGTCTTTCAGTGTAAATCGCGCCGTGCATGATGTGGCAAACATTGCCGTTCATAGTGTAAAACGCTGGTATGCTATGACGTCCGAACCAACGCCAACAGACTCGTTGCCAAACATGTGCAGTTGTGATCGATAGCTCTCGCAGTGGTGAGGCAAACAAACGCACGCTCGTGAATGCTAAGGATGATTTCAGTATAGTTGGGCCAGGGTACTTGCCTACCAGCTCGAGCTGCGAAGCCAGTACTTGTCTGTATTGAACTTCATTGCACCGTCCCAGCCGCGACCCCCCCAAAAGTCTCAACACTTCAAGCTTATGTCCTAAATCCTTGATGTAGAGGGTTGAATAAATACTCCCACCCATATTCCGTCAGAAACAGATGACCATTCAGATCCAAATCCTATCCTGGTTATTTGGCTCCTATGTTAAGCCCGAGAGTCAATCCCTTGGTCCACTGTGCCAAGGACAAATCCCTTTTCTTCGTGCTTCAGGGCGATGACCGTAGGCAGCGCAAGTTTCACATGGAAGAGTTCGCGAAGAGGTTCAGCGACCAGAAAGTCCTGGACAGGGTTTAG